CCCCCCCCCTGGTCTCACCGCCGCGTTGCCTCCCGACTTAGGTCCCAGGTTCTTCTCGGCCGCCTTCCGGAGATACCTCACGGCGGTCGTGTACCGCGTGTGCTGGATGCCGTAGGCGAAGAACGACACGAGCACGAGAAGGCCGAGGAGGACGCCGCGCACGTCCGAAGCGGATGCGTAGCGCATGACCCAGTGGTGGCCGTACTCGAGCCAGTAGGCGTCCTGACAAAATAGGATCCGATATGGGTGTGGGTGTGGGTGTGGGTGTGGGTGTGGGTGTGGTGTGGTGTGGTGCGGGCGGGAGATCCTCTTGCTGTAACTGGTATTTTCCTCCGAATTTCTGGGCCTTGTATACATGTCCAGGCGAATCACGTCACACCTGCTTGCGGAAGACGGGGCTGTAATACCGAGAAATGTAACTTCGCCTGCTTGCAAAGTTTGCAATCGGGTGGTATCCCGCTCATCGCAGCCGGCATTCTCTCTCTCTCCTGGCCAAATGCACGGCAAGCAGGCTCCTGCTTCGCATCATCAACAATATGCCGCTCGCCCCGCAAACGGCTTTGGAGCTACCGAACCCTACCCAATCTGCTCGCCGGCTTTTGTCCGATCGGCTCACCGGGTGGTCAAGGAAGAAGTGGTACTTCTTGTTCAGCTCCTCGTCCATGAAGACACCGTAAGCCTTGGCCACTTTCTGCTTGCGTCCGTCGCGGCGATAGGGGTGGTCGTGTGTGAGACGCAAGACACAAAAAAAGTGGTACTGAGTACAATACCAAAAAAGGTTATTTGTGTCATGACGGTGGGGTGGTATTTTCACGAGGAAAACAAATCATCCCCATGGTACGAATCGAAAGGTGTGGAGTGTGGAGACCGGCGCCAGACTAGATGTGGGACGAACACATACAAAAGGCGCGAGAGGGGTTTGACAAAAACACTCGCGCATAGATTTGAAGCCCGCACGGGAAAACCAACATCGTTAGCACATGCATACCCGTCCATCAATTTTCGATTGTACTGCCGGTAAATTCGAGCTTAGCAACGATTGTATCTCGAACGGGTTTTCTCTCTTTGATTGTACGCTATGCATATATTACCTAGCAAGGTCACGTTGCGGCATGTGACTTAGAATATCACCTTCCCCGCGGGCACGCGGTACTCTGCTACGCACGCCCCTTCTCCACATCAGAGAGAAGTCAACAAAGCTAAAGCTAGCTTCCCCCCTGCAGGGTACCGGGAAGCTCCGATAAAAGTGTTTCGTCCGACACCGCGACATTATGTACATGTAGCATCAGTGGACCTTGCCCGTTCGTTGAGTGGAATAATCTGGCTCTAAATACCGTGAGCGGCGGAGAGATGGCCCCGGGTGTGCGCGAAAAAAACAAGAGCGGCAAGATGTAAATCGACTTTCGGCACCGAGGTCCATGAGATCGCACCAGGTCCGATCTCACCGACCCCCAAATCTAAGATTGAGCTCTTTCGAGCTGCCGTAAAGAGGTACGTGTGCATTCCCTTACAGGTGTTGACGGTATCAGCGGAGCACCACACTCCTTCCTTTGTGTTTGTACGGTCGTGGTTCACGCGGACTGCTGTTGGTAATCTGTACCTATCAAAGTTGCAGACCATGCACCAAGCACACAACATACAAGCCTACACCACCTTACACAAGGAAATCCAACGTACGTACTGCTACGTACGTACTGGTAATCGTAGAGCAAGGCCGAAACGAATGCGGATAGAACAACTGATACCGTACCGTATGTGCTGCTGTTCGTCCAGTTGGAAACCACGAAACCACATTCGTCTATGTCAAGCCTACAGCAGTACAGCCAAACTCGCACTCAAACCCATGACCACTCGCTGCGTGAAAAGCTAATACTTCTACGTACTATCCTCCGTTGCCGTTACCGGTGTGCTCCCAAGCAGCAACAACGGTACCGTGATGCGCCCACAGCACCCAAAAGAAAAAGGTTCTCTGCTGATCTCCAGATAGTGGAGGCGCAAAGATGGATCGATTTTGCCAGCGCACTGCAGCTGTGATCACAAACAACGCGCGAGGAACTCTCACTGGGGGCGAATAAAGACCACTGCTGTTGTTTAATAGGCGGGCAAAACTGCTCTTTTGGCATGCAATGGAGCAAGGAGGCGGAACCGTGGAGTACAAGAGTATCGTTATTTGTAAAATAGTTGTGTCTGCACCAACTGCCTAGTACCAGTCAAATGCGACCATAGATACCATAGCGTGGAGGAACACCGCTGTAGGGTGAGATAGAGATAGACACAGAGCGTTGCCGAGACTCAAAACCTACAAAGAGTCAAGAATGCATCAATTTGCACCCGCGGGGCATGGTGGTGTCCATCCTTCGTGATTGAGCGGTCGCTGGTGGTTCAAACGTTCACACATGTGAAGCCGACGGCCAGCACACCAGCACCCTACAGGCAAGCGAGTTCTTGCGCAAAAATGTCACACGCACGGAGAGATTCTCGCAAAGACGACGCAATCAATCGCACCGTGAACTTTTCCTTCGCCGCAGCGGTCGGGTTCTTGTCAGGGTGAACGTCCAGCGAGATCGTGCGGTAAGCCTTCTTGATGTCAGCCTTGTCGGCTCCGCGCTGGAGGCCCAGCACCGCATAGCACTCGTCCTCGCCGCAGAACTTGTTGTGCGGGTCTTTGAACGCCTCCGCAAACCCTGAGAAAGCAGCCACCGCGATTGCTACCACGAAGAAAATAGCCTGAGGAGACATCACTCTCATCCTCTTCCGCGCCATGCTGACAGAGCGTTGCGCGAGATTCAAGGCGGCGGAGGCACTCCCACTGCCCAGCTGCTGAGCTGTGTGAGCGTGCGCGGCGCTGATTCTGACGGGGGCTCCGTGGTTTATTCGCATCTGCGTGCCCCCGGCGGTGGCGGAGGAAGTGAGGAGGAAGTAAAAACGGTTTCAGATTTGAGCGGTGCAATCTGCTCTCTTCTACGGTCGCGCGTCGCGCGCGACGTCTGAAAATCTTGCTGGTTGTGATTTCGGCATCATCTATACTATCGCCGAGACTCTGGAGAAAAGCAGCGAACTCTGGCGCGAAGCAACGAAGAGATATGATTATTCTCAAAGATCATCCTGCCTTGACGATCAAGATCCTCCGACAACAACACACAAACCGAAGATGTTGTACAGCTGCTGAGGCTGTATGCTGTACGTTTCTTTTTGCTTTTTGCTCATCATTCTCAAGGAGTGTTCCGCCTGCCAGGCCAAGAAAGACAATATGACGCAAGCTATGAAGAAGATGAAGACAATCAAGCACATTCGAGAGACAAGGCTCCATCAGGCCTTCAGTAGACCGCGAGTGCGAGCGCGTGGGTGGTAGAGGCTACAAGTACTACTGCGCCTATCTATGATGAATGTGGATCAGCACACAAAAAGAGTTGCTGCAGAGGGCGATGCCGCCTGCAAGATTTGCACGGAGAACGTTGTGGACTTTTTGTTTGTACATGGGTTGACGGCACGGTAGCATCTGCGGCAGCTGTGCTCTACGGGTTATCCTGGAGCCCAACAACCCCACGTGTCCAATGTGTAAACAGAGAGTGAAATTGATTTGCGTGAGGTCTAGCTCGAGAGCAAGCCAGGTTACCATTTTCGACCTTTTAGCGTGACATGGCACACTAAACGCGGTATGATAAGATATAAGGAAGTGTACCTTCAACTTGAAGAACAATTTTCAGGAAAGGTGTGTAGAACGATACATACACCGACCGATGGATGGAGTCAATAGATTACGTAGTAACGGTTTGTATCAAAGAATGTTTTGTTTTCGGACATTCTCAGGAACGTTCTCAGGCTCTCAGGAACGTTCTCAGGAAAAGTCCAGGGCAAGATTAACATTAGCAAGGTTCCCGGAACGTTTCCGAAACAACAGAGTACTTTTGGTCTTCTTTATAGAAAGGCAGCTGGTTCCAAGAACGGTTCCGGAACGGTTTCGGACAGGTACTCAAGGGTTCTTCGTAGTTTGTCGGTGATCGATAAAAACGCTGACTGACCAGGCCGAGCGCACGCCCCCCACCGGAGCTCACTCTGTTTCCTGCCCAGGTCAACATTACAACAAAACTGTTGTACAACATATTTTTCTCATTGTTTATCTTTGAACCAAATTCCACGTTTAATTTGGCTGTTGACTCACGTCCACAGTAGTAGTAGTAGTAGTGCACCTCCGCACACCTGTCAATGAGGTGTAGCACACCACGCTTGCTTCTGTTACCTTGATTGCTCACTGATGCTGTACCGCCGTGCGTAGCACGGATAGATCACTCACGTAAGTAAACAGATAGATAAGACTACTGACCTGCACCATCAGCCTTCTATCATCTTGTTTTTAGTAAGGACCTCCTTTCAGCAGGTCTGACGTTCGCTGAAAACTACCAAGCAATCTAGCACAAGCAAACCATCAGGGAGCTGCTGTTCTTCACGGCTGTACACAGTCAGTCTTACCAGACCCTAAGCCTCTGCAACCGAATATCGACAAATGCAACATAATTTTGTACCCTCTTTTACCCCTTTTTTGGACCGGGGTCGATCGTGTCCTGGTTAGCTTTTTTTCTTTCGTTGGGTAACAAATCGCGTCTTGAAGGACTTTCTGGGGTCCATTTTTGTTTTTTTATCTAGAAACAAACGTGTACCCCCTTTTTCGGGGGTAGTTGACTTGTGACCACGGAAGGCGTCCTTGTCAGTTGGACCACCAGTTCAGTACGGACATTAGAAGGTACTGAGCAGAAACCGGAACGGTGTTTAATGTGAAGACAACAAAAACCCTTTTTATATGATGCAGGCAAGTGTTACGCAGGTACAACAGCCATCTGTTTGGTGTAAACATTTCCCTCTCGGTGTCCGTGCTGGAAACTCAGAGGGAAAGGCAAGTTCGAGAGACAGCTCTTCACTGACACCGATGTAACGAAGAGCCTCTATTTACACGAAGTGCCCGTCCGTCCACACTCTGTTCCTGCGCCGAATCGACAGCCACGATTCCCTCTTTCAACCTATTTTTGATCCAACAGCTATGGTCGCATGATAACGTAAAAAAACATCGGAAACCATGAACCGACAAGCAGTGTCTGTCACGTTGCTGAAGATACAACCAAGCGTACGATAATGTCTGTCGCGTTGCACAACACAAAAAGGGGTGGATGATTCGCTCGTCTCTCATCAAACATGTCTCAAAAAAAGTTCCGCCACGGGCACTGTTTCGTGCTGTGTCGTCGAAACTTTTCTACAACTATTATTGTCGCCGGCCATCACTATCGTTCACCGCCGCGACGGCTTGGCCCGAGCCGGGGCGATGTCTACTCTCCTCGCCGCCCCGACTCGCCCACCCCCCCCTCTCGTTCATGACAACCCCGAACTCCTTCTCCTTGCCGATATCGGTCACGGTGAACTCCGGGCAGGACTTCACGAAGGTCATCAAAGAGGGCCACCTCGACTTGAGGCACATCAGCGCCGTCTCGTTCGGGTTCTCCGGGGAGGGGTGCGCCGCCAACAGCCGCCCGAGCTGCCTCGAGGACGTGATCCCGCTGAACCCCGGCGCCCGCGCCTCTTCACTCAGCAACCTGGACACCAGGCCCACCAGGGCCGCGTGCCCGTTCTTCCGCCGGGCCTTCGCCGCCTTCTCCGCTGTAAGCCCCGGAGGCCGGGGGGCGGGGCTGCCGTCGCCTACTACTCCGCCGTTGCCCCGCCCTCCGGCATGGCCTTGCATTCTCCCCCCGCTGCCGCCGCTGCCGCCGCCGCTAGGCATATTTAGTCTCAAGTAAGAAGAGTCGCCCGCGAGCAAGGCATCCGCCGCCGCTGCCGCCCATCCTCCCGGCAAACCACGGCCGCCGCCCCCGCCGTCCGCCGCGTTGGCGTCCCCGTGGCCAAGCCCCCTACCCACGTCTGGTGGCGTTACTACAGCCTCGCCTTCGGGCGTAGCGCCAGCGCCGACGATGGGAGGATCGCCGCGTCGTCGCGGCGCCGGCGGCGGGCGGGAATCGCCGGCCATGGAGTCCAGTAGGCGTGCTACGAGGACGGACTTCTTGCCGGAGACGGGCAGACCCCTCTCCCGAAGGCGTGTCTTGAGCTGCGGTATCACCTCCCCAGACAGGCTGAGCCGACACATTCACACACACGGAAGACGTGTATAGGGAGAGTAAGTACACAAGGTGCGCGCACGGGAGTACCAGATGGCTGAGGAGACAAGCAAAGAACGATAGTAAAAATCCACCCCGTGACATCTCTTTCTCAAGTAGCGCTTGCGGCCACGGCGGAGCATCTACCGCCCTCACCTCTCTTCCGTCACTCGTTCTTCGTCGGCATCGCACGCACTTCCGCCGCCCATGTTTTCCTCCTCCACTAGCTCTTCCTCCTCTAGCTCTTCTTCATCATCGGTGTACGCCTCATCATCGTCCGACACTGACTCGTCCATCACCTCACCAAGCTTGAGCGATTTCATCGAGTTCTGGTGCAAAGAAAGCCGTGCATAGAGGGGTGTGTGGGAGACAGACAGACGGACCGACAACATTTACAGTCTCCTAGGCGGGAGCTTGGCCCAAAACAGGGCACGTCATCAACTCGAAAGCAACGGCAACAGCAACAACAACAACAACAGTAAACAAGAACAAAGAAGTAAATCACCTACTCTGGAAACGTAGACTATCAGTCGCAGCGACGTCGCCCACGCAGCATCAGTGGCAGATAAAAAGACACATAAAACTATTTACAGCAGCAACCCCGCTCTACCGTACACTGCCCGATAGCTGCAGCTGCTGCTGCTGCTGCCAGCTACACACACCTGGCTGTCGACTTTGGAGATGGTGTACTCCTTGGTCTTGGTCGGGTTGCTAACAGGGAGGATGGCCTGGAACATATCGCTGTGCTCGAACACGAACCTCGAGAGGACCTGCCACCTCTGTCGAACAGAACCGAACCGAACCGTACCGCAAGCCGTACGGTGCCACACAAAGTCCCGGCAAAAATGGAAGGTCAGATGGATAAGCACCCAAATAGACAAAGACAGGGACAGAGAGACACACACACAGAATTTGTTAGTGCACACGTTCCTGCCAAATGGAGTGTAGCCATAGACAAAAGCGGGAGGGAATTTGGAGTTTGTATGAACAAAAACTTCGATGAAATTAAGCAGCACCCAGCCAAACTTGCGTAATAGTCGGTGCATCGCACACACACACCAAGGGAAAAAAAAGAGCGGAGCGCGTCAGCTGACGTCTTCCGTGCCCTGCAGGTTGGACCAAATACAGGCGGCCTGCGAAGAAGCTCCTTTTCGAACCGCTTGCTGGTGTCTCCCATGAGAACGAAGCTCGCATGCATAGACAAACTGATCCGCATTGCCAAAAATGAACACGATCGTCTCCTTCGTCATGTACACCGAGTTTCTCTTACCGCAACGAGCCAATGGCCGTAACAATTCTAACTATTCAATCACGACGTGATCTCCCTAACCCCCGATTCCTTCAACCCCCCGCCCCCTTCCCCCCGCAAAAATGTAGCAGTAGTCCTGTTCTTCGCCTGGCCTCACCTCCTTGATGACACTGAGGGCTGTCGTACCGTCTTCGTCGACGCTAATCTTGTTCAGCTCTCTCCCCAGCAACCTAGAGTTGATGCTGCCGCCCTGCTGCTCGACGAGCTTCATCACGACCTGACACAAGATCTCAGGCGCGACCTTCACCTTGTTTGCACCAATCCCTTCCCTGCAACACCAAAAATCGACGTAGGGCACGCGGGGGGGAGGGCGCAAGCTAAACGTTTAGGCCGGTCTTTCAGTTTCCATGCATAGACTCTTCCGCTGATACAACAAGTCCACACTAGGAAAATGGGGGAGGGGCGAGGGGTTTGCAAGCCACGCCAGCGAGCCAGAAAAGTGTGTGCACCGATCGGACGGTCTCTGCAGCGCGAACAGGAACATAATTGCAAGAGCCCAAACGGTGCGCAAAAAACGACACTTCACAAAACCTGGCAAATACCCACTTGCCGGTAATAAAACAAAACAATACCGCACTCACACAGGCGGGACGTACTCCATGAGGTCGTCGAGGTACTCGTTGATCCAAATGGGCTCGAAGTCCGTGACGTGCGCATCGTCTCGGAGGAGGGCTTGGTTGCACGAGTTGCGCATGCTGCACAGGCAGACCCTCCGCCCCTTCTGGCGCGTGCGCGCCATCGCCGGCATGAAGTCCTTGTCCCCAGTCACCAACACTATCACCCCGTCATCATAATTAGAAGCGGGGGGCGGGGGGCAACAGAAGACCGGCCGCAGGGAGTGCATGGTAAAAACCAAAATCTTGGATAGGAGGGGGGGTACGTGGGGGCCTGAGATAACCGGGCTGTAACAAAACCGGGAGGGGAAATCAACCAACAGCACCTTCCGTCGCGGCACTTCAGGGAATAATGCGTTTTGCGGAGGTGGGCGCCAGGTGCGTTTGCCCTCGGGAAGATTTTTCCAAGAAAAAAACAAAATCTCTCTCACCGCCCACGTCGTAGGTGTCCGGTATAGTCGCGTAGTGCATCATTTCCACCGCCAGAGCGATGTCGATGCACTTCTCCTGGACCCCTACGGTCGTGGCCCTAAAAATTCGGTTTGACGAGCGCGGGACAAGAATCATGACAGAGACAGCAGTGACCAGGGTTACCCCGACACTAACTCTACTCAACAGACGGCGAGGCCACTGACTGCCTGTTGCAACGCGGAGGAACCACAGCAATCCGTTACCCCTTGGACGGATCTCACCACGGGCACCGAAACAGGGGGAGAGCTACAACGATTCCCGCGTGCTCTCAGGAACTCTTGTGCGCGATGCACTGCACCGCGCCGCACTCACATGTGCACCTCGAAGTTCTTCTCCCGCATGGCGTTGAACATCCGCATCCTCGTGCTGTCCTTGTCCGTATCCTTACGGGCGCTCGAAAAAACCACCGTGCGAACCACCTGTGAAAAACGAGACCGAACCAACACCGGCCCATTGGCAAAGACGAGCACGAGACGAGCCGTGGTGTGAGTCCGCCGTTCATGCGTTCGCTGGTGTGTCGACGCAAGCACATACCGCAGGAGGCGGGGGCACGGCGATGGGAGCATGGGCAAGGGGAGGTCCTGCTTGGCAACGGCATGATTGCGTAATGAAATTCAGTCGGGTCGGCGACGTGTAAGTATTGTCAGTCCTTGTCGCCCTCCACCCCTCGCTTTCTTTGCATCTGTGGGTAAAGCGCCTCCTGCCTTTACCCCCCCCCCAACCCGGGCATATTGGAGTACCAAAAGGGGGCTGAAAGGGGGGAAAGTTACACATACTTTATGGGAAAGATGGAAGGAAGGATTGGCCCCCGGTCCTGGGGGAACAATATTCCGTCCTTTGGGGGACGCGCGGTCCATGGCCTAACAGTTAAGGCATGAAAAACGGGGGTAGCGCCCCCCCCCCCCGCCGCCGCCGCGGGCGTGTCTCTTCTCCACTCGGGGAACCCATTGCCTCTCGCAGCGACTCCCTCACCTCCACGAGTCTTGAAGACTGGCCGTACCGGGCGAGCTGCGCGTGTACGGCGCGGCTGATGATCACGGGTAGCATCTCCCACTTCACGTTGTACTCGTACACCCAGCCGGGCCCAAGCTTCGCAGACACGTGACACCGCTCCCCCCTGAAAACGCCCCCCCCAAAAAAAACACACATACGTGCATCGAAGGACCAACGAACCAAGGGTAAAGAGAGGTTTGACTCCCAACGGGACGAGGGAGGCTAACGCAGGAGGCTGTACGCCGGGGAAAAGTGACGTTTCGGAGAGACCTTCCCGTTTTGAGGGTCGAGAGTGCGGTATGGGTCCGCACCCAACTCGGCCTCGTTGGCACTGGTTGGTACGCACACAGGCTCCATTGGCTGCATCGAACACCAGGTCGCCCCGGTGGTTCAGCTGGTAACCTCGTAACCTTGTGACTCTCTAGGTTGGGGGTTGGAACCTCTCTGGGGTGAAAAGTTCGCCCTTCGGGTGCGGAAAAAGCTCTATAGACATTTCTGGGTGGGGGTAGTTGTGGTGCAAGAGCGATGTTTTCGTAGGAAAGACTGGGTACGGGAGCTGAGGAGTGTTCCCAGAGGGGCACAAAGGACCTAGCCTTCTCAAACGTATATTCAATCAAAGACAACAGTTTTCTGTGAGTAGAAATATTGTTTATTTCCGCCCGTTCAATCTCGCCAAGAAGGCTAGCTGCGCATCGCGAGAGCCACTCTCGCCCCCGGCGCCGACGAACACCCAAAGTTGCCTCCGCCGCAGCGCCCGTCCAGTACCATGTCACAAACCTTCCAAAGAAGCTGTAGTAGAGCCACGTGCCGTCGATGAACACCATGACCTTGAGGGGCACCGACAGCTTGGCCGCCGCGTCCATGCTCTCCTCCGTGGGGACGGCGTTTGATACTGCACCCCCCCCGCCCCCAACGGTACTAACGCCGACGTCCCCACCTCCTCCCCCCGCCGTACCGCCGCCCTCGACAACCCAGGCTCTTCCCTCCAACCTCTCCTCCATATCGTAGCCGTTACGCCGCTGGTACTCCGGACCGCCGTTGTCGTCATCGGCGGCGGCGAGCCGGCTTCCTCTTCTCGCCCCTCGTTTTGAGCCGTGGCATCCTCTACTGCCAGCAGGGTTGTGTGTGGAGGAGTCCTCCGAGTACAGTCTGTTGTCGGGGGCGGTCCTGCGGGGCGGGAACGGAACGGAGGCCACAGCGGGCGGGAGAGGGCTTGCGACTTTGGGGTCCGGGCCGGGGGAGCCATTCGAGAAATGAGGAACGCGCATCTATTTAGGAAAAATGTCTACCACTTGGCCGTGTTACTTCGTAACGAGAGCATCACCGGTTCGGCGGGTGAATCGCCTCGGCTGTAACTCACACATACTCGTCCAGGATGCACGTTGGTTGTAGACTAGTACTTGTAGCGAAGACTGCACGGCTGCCATGTGTGGAATGTGATTAGAGGATCAGTGTGTGACTGCTGCTCGTTTTACCTACCATATACGAGCATCTCGGTACTGCTGCGTACAAGTAGGTACACCACGCGCGGTCCGCACGTGTGAACCGACCGTTTTGAGCTCTCGATTTCGACTATTATATACTTGCTCATCATACCGCACGACGAATGGTATGGTCCCTGTCTCCCTTACCGATGGCCAATTCCACCGTGCACATCAACCGTGCAAGTTTCGATCGACGACAGGCTACGATACGATACGCCAACAGCCGCTGTCAGTCATGAGCAGCATGCCACCGCTATGCGGACGGGTACACAGCACACAGCACGAGCGTAGGACACGTGCTGAGTGACCGGACAGCCGACACATGATGGACACCCGTTGATGGCAAGGTTCCTGCCGTTGCGCCAACTACGTATGGGAGAGAAACAGTGCACCGGATGCGCCGAAGAACCCCCCACGTCTAGAGTTCCCGCTGCTGCTGTCTTCTCACCTCTGCCAGCGCGTCGTACTCGTGCTCGGCAACCGTCGCTGCTCGGCAAGGGATAGTAGCCCCACGCCAAGCCCTGCTGCTGAGGGTTCCAGTAGCGGTGGGTTGAATCCATCAGCACCGCGCGCCAATAGCTGCAACCCAATCAAAATTCCAGACCCTGACACGGATCCCCTCCAGCTCCGCAACCGTCTTCTACGCCGCTGACTGTCAGACGGCAGCGGCATACCGATGTTTTCATGTGTATGTTTCTGGTGTGTGTTTGGGTGTACGAGCTGGTCTCCTTCCTACAGGGGGCACCGCATGATCTGAGAGCAGTATCGCCCCCCTCCCCCGTTGGCTCTTGCCTGACCCTGCTGCTATGCATGTCTGGTACCTACAAGTACTGTACTAGCAAGCGCATTCGGTTCTCTGCCACTTTTGACAGCAGGTCTGCGGATAGGGCACCCCTCCACATCCCTGACATGTCGAGCCGTCAGAAGAAGCCTGACGCCCGCGCCCTTTTCAAGCAAGCGAAGAGCAGGAAAGGGGAGAATAATGGAACAAATTCAGTGTCGGCGGGGGGATCAACAGTATCCGGTCGATCTGGGGCAGCATCATCAGCGGGAGGGAAATATGGAGGGAAAAGCAAGGAAGAGGTAAGGGGGGGTAGAGACACCGCCGAGTTTTATTACCAGACAGAGAACATGCTGTGCCGACCTAAATGACGTAATTCTGCGCCTTTTGTCCAGATTGCAATTATCCAGGGAGAAATTCAACGGAACCGCTTTTGCACATCATTAGGAGAGATTGCCCGCTCGATATATATCATGACCCCTCGGGTTTATAATACTAATGAGGGTTGAGGGACACCTGCTGGATACTGGACTTGATGGAGCCTGATCAAGTGCTTACACGGAGAAAGCAGTGATACCTGCGGAACATGCTTTGCCTTGACACCTATGTGTTGTAGGTGAGACGGTCTCAGGAGGTGACGCGTCGAGCAGGTGGCTACAGCTGTAGTTCAAATGCAGCAGCTCTTTCGTCCCGTCTTGGAGCGCAACCCTCACTGTCTTCTCCGGACCAACACACCCTAGACTGTGCTTACGCGACGTTACGCACCCGTGCAGATTTACAGCACAACTATAGGCCGCCGTCGTCTCTTTCGTACATGCTGCAGGCGTAAATCAAAGGAAAAAGCAGATTCACCACCACCCACTCAACCACCGCCGGTAGCAAACCTTCAGTATCGACAACTCAAAAAGTTTGCTACCTCTTGAGACTGCTGTTGATGGCCATGCTTACGGCTAGATGTATTGGCTCAAGCGTTGTTTCAAACTATGGGATGTTGCCGGTAATCCAAAAACGTTGCGGAGCAAGAGGTCCAGTACCAGCAAAAGAAGCCAAAGCTCCGGATCTGCTATCAGGCTGATGCCCCGTACCTATTTGGCTTTTCCGGTGCCTAAGATCCTACGACAAAGCCACGGTTTTTCCGCTGCCAAAGATAACGCCACGGGGTACCATTGTGTTCGGGGACAGAACCTGAAGCGGGTATCTTCTCTGCTTCCGTGTGCCCGTGTCTATGCACACATGCACACCACCTTGTTCTCCTCGTAGGCTTTTGATTGGATCGATTCACCTCAACACGTGTGCTGAGGCCTGCCGTTGTCGTCTTGCTCGCATCGTCACTGCCTCCCCCCAGCTGTTGGCTTTGTATAGGGCCAAGAAAGCCATCGCCGCTGCCAGCAAGGCTAACGCGGGTGCACAGCAGAAGAAGCAGCAGCAACAGCCACAGCGCCCGAGTGACAAGAGCTCGGGGTCGCTAGCTACGGGACGGAAGCCGACCGTCAAGGTGAGGGTGCACATGCACATCCCACACCACATCTCGTCGATTTGTGCAGAACAGCGCCTTATCAGCTGTGCGTGGAGACGGCAGCCTCTTGCAGGTTCGTCTGTGTGTTCGACCCATCTGGTGGCAGGAAAATGTGACATAGCTCCATCGAGCTTGAGAGAGACAGACAGACAGACAGACAGACAGACAGACAGACAGAGACAGACAAACAGACAAACAGACAGAAACAGAGAGAGGACACGCGTTCCCAGTGTGTTGTAGCAAAACCGTCACATCCTAACCGTACAGGCTGTGTCTGGACTTGCGACTTACAAAGCACCCGTGTCCTCTTGAGTGAGGAGTTGCGTCGTTGTGTGCTATTTTTGTTTTGTCACCTCTCTTTGTACATGTTAACACCACACGGGCGACCTTCTCATATAAATATCTTCTCCTACTAAGAGGCATGGCCGTGGCACACAAAGGCAGATAGCTGTGGCGAAAGCGGCTACGCAGTCTTTAAACTCCATCAACATCTGCCTTGTTTTCGCGTATCCTCCCACCGGTAGCACTCGCTTATAGGTGCATGTGTCCGTTCACCGGCGAAACCGCTCCTCCCTTTTGCACCTCCGTCTCGCTTGCCACGCGTCAACATGGCATATGCCGCGGGACTCGTCATCGATGAAATTCCTATCGACAGGTGCCGGTGATGATCGCAGCGTCTGGAGCCGGGCGCCCCAGCATCCAGCCAGCGCCACCAGGACAGGTCCAAGCGGAGGGGGGTGGACTGACAGGTGAGTTTCACCACCCATTCAGCAGAAGTTCGTGCGTGTCGAAGCGACAAGACTACTTCCACTAAGAAGGTGCGCGCACTTTTTTGCTGCTCGGCGCGACCTTTTTCGTCAATATTTTTGGCTGCTTATTTCTTATTTCCGCAGTCAGAATCATGGCCAGGAGAAACACTTGAAATTGGAATGGTCTTTTTTCCTAGCAAACGCACACACCCTAAAAGTGGCAACGAAGAAATACATTTGTGCGTTTCCAGCGTACGAACAGTATGAGGTTGTGGCTTTTATCATCATAGTATCTGTACTCCCCCCGGAGTTTGAGACATTATGATGCCACAGCCACTTCTTTCTACTGTTCGCACGCTTGAAACGCACAGATGTGGTTCTTCTTTGCCACTCCGAGGGTGTGTGTGTTTGCTTGGAGAAAATACCGCTCTAATGCAAGCGTTTCTCCTGGCCCATGATTCCGATTGCGGAAACATGCAGCTACATTCCTACGGAAGGATCTTTATCGACGAAGAAGGTCACGCCGAGTAGTGAAAAGTGCGCGAACCTTGTTATTGGAAGCAGTCTTCGAGAAAAACTGTTGTGGCTAAGAGTTCTAGCGGCGTTGTTGCTGTCGCGATTCACTGAGGGGTTGATCCGTTCGCTGCAGACGAAGTTGGTGTACCATACGTTCGTCGATACTCTGTTGTTGAGTTTTGTGCTTGATGAATGATTGTGTATTGGTGGACGCCATAGTGTGTGTCTTGGTAACGCATTCCGCCGTGGATATATTGTATGGAGAATCAACCGTCAACATTTGTATCCATGGATTCGTTTGCTAGAGTGAGGAATTCTTGTGTCGTGGTGGCAAGCTATAAACTCCGTAGTTTCATGGAACGAAGCTCGAGCGTCTGTAAGGTTGCACAGAGTAGGACTTTGGCCACAACCGTGTACCCGCCTCCTACGGTACGAAACGCCCCGCCCCACCGTACGGGCGGGTTTTTGTGACATACGTACACTTACATTGCAAGGGGCAAGAGTGTTCATGCCATACGACATTCTCTCAGAGGCCGTAGAGAACTTGCCTACAAGGCGATGATGTTATGCATGTCCACCGTATGCGTTGTGGGTAAACCCGAGCTTCGCATGCCCTCCCACGGCGACAAAGCGGGGGTTAACCTTTGACTTGTTCGCTGCATCGCTGGGCAACACAGCGCGCGCACACTCCCTGTTTCACCGATAAACCCTTCCGTTCCTTGCCAAGAAGCACCAGCCCCCACGGCGAATAGAGCGCATCCATGGCGTTGCTGGTTCTGACCTCGCCAACGCGTGTTGGGACTTTTTGACTTTTGTTACATCACCCCAGGCCTTTTAGGTATCGGAGCAGCGGACAGCAGCAGCAGCGACGAAGACGACAACGACAACAACAATGCAGGCGGCGGTAGTGACAGGCATCCGGGAACGGATGCCGCCCCTGTCTCAACCCCCGCCGCCGCCGCCGCCGCCGCTGCACCCGAGGGCTTGCCAGCGGGCTTCTTCGACGAAGACTTGGCAGCCGATTCCTCCAAGACCGTCGCCGACACCGAGGAGGCTTTCGGGGTGGTGGCACCGGCCCCCCCGCCGCCCCAGGCCCCGCCGGCGGGGCGGTTCGGGGCGGAACGGGCGGCCGAGCTTGCCGCCGAAGCCGCTGCCGTTGCCGAGGCCGCTGCTCTCCGGGAGGCGGAGAAGCTGGCGGCGATGCGCGCGGCGGGTCTAACGGTAGTAGCGGCGGATGGGGCAACAGGCGGGGCAGCGGCGGACGGGGGCAAGAAGGCCGCGGACGGCGGGGCTGAGGCGGCGGCGGCGGCGGCGCCAAACGGATCTGCTCTGCCGGAAGGGTTCTTCGACGACCCCGAGATGGACGCGAAATCCCGAGGCGTTGACCTCAAGGCCGAGAAGAAAGAGGAGGAGCAGTGAGTATTTTGCTGGTTCCGGATTATTGCTTCTGGCGTGTATTTACGTCAGCAAATTTCGCTATTCTCTTCCTCGTTCTTTTAGCGTTTTTTGGCGGCCCTTGTTCTCGTTCTGCAGTTTTAACGGTCGTTTTCTCACTTGCACTTATCTAGTTTCCCTCATTGAATCGCGTCCTGCCCATCCGTTTTCCTCGTCTGTTCCTGGAGAGTATCCTTTGAATTCCCATCACATTCACACTTCCCCAAGGATGTTAAGGGGGGCGTTAGTTGCAACGTTCGTACAACAATGATGCGCCGGCATCGTTCCGGGCTGTGAACGGCTTGCAGCTAAGCGAGCCTTCCGAAGCAGGGCGTGGTTTTCTTCCCGGCATATTCGTGCCCTATCATCCCAGCACCTCTTGTCCCCCGCTCATGAGTACCTCTCGTCGTGACACTCGTGTGTACCTCATGTTGTCCCACTCGTGTGCACCTGTGCCTGTCTCACTCATGTGTACCTCTTCGTGTCCCACTGACGTGTGCCTCTTGTTTGTCGCGGCCGTGCGACATGTCTGTCTTTTGTCTTTTCCTCCTCAGGAATGAGTGGAAGGAGTTCATGTCATTCGCGGAAGAAGTCAAGAAGACCGAGAAGGTGAGGGTGGTATTCTGCGGGGTTTTCGCGGGATATGTTTTCTTCTTAGAAAGCATTGTTTTTTTGTGCGGGTCTAAATACGGCTTTTCCATGACGAGGTTTTATTTCTTCTCTTGTCTACATACTTGGAAGTAGCAATAAAGTGTCTGAGTTCTTACGTGCTTACCCGACGTTTTGCTCTGCTTGTCCCCGGGGCTGGCTGCATCGTTTCGCGTGTTGTTTCCGCAGGAGGAGGAGCAGCAGGAAGAAGCGGTGGAGGAAGACAAGGAGCAGTACGAGGAACTAGAGCAAGCGTGAGTGCCCGTCCCCCTTTTCCGCTCTCCTTTGTACAGCGCAGCCTGAGCTGTTTAATAGACCGGGATGTAATCGTACGTGCATCAATTTCTCCCCTCCCCTCCCCCCCCCCGGTGTTTGCCATCGGGGTTGGGTTTTCGTCGCTTGGCAACGACGTTGTAAAACAAGCCGCCCCCCCCGGTGTTTGCCATCGGGGTTTGGGTTTTCGTCGCTTGGCAACGACGTTGTAAAACAAACCCCCCACTCGGTGTTTGCCATCGGGATTGGGTTTTCGTCGCTTGGCAACGACGTTGTAAAACAAGCCAATTCACTTCGTGAACTCGGCAACCAGGTTACCGTTTTTTTTTTTTACCTCGGTTATTTTTTTTTGGCGGTAACCATAATGGTGGTCGAGTAGATCATGTTGTGCGGGGTCGAGAAACCTCACTCCGCGCAACGGGGGATGATCGCACCACGTTGTGTTAAAATGGCCAAGCACCCTCGAGGCAGTTACACAGTGCTTACAACTGTCTCTGGAAGTGAAAGCACCAGAAAATAAATTAAGTCATACGTAGCTGTCATCCGTACGCAAGGAAGTAAGCACAAGATGCCGAACACCCTTAGCAGGATGCAGCTCACCCTTCACGCGACTCGCCAAATACCTCACGGCGCTTCGCGCTTGGTGATGTGAGAGCCTGGTCCGGTGAGAACCCGGCGTGCTCCGTCCCGGCTTTGTAGGGATGCGAGGTCAATGGTCAAACGACTACGGCATGCACGACTATGAGTACCCCCCCCCCCCCCTCTTGCTGACACACTGTCTGTCGTTCCCGAAGTTGACACCCTGTCGTGTTCAATAGAAGAGGCGCGCATTGGTATGGCTTCTGCCGTGGCGCTGCTGCCCGTACCCGATGTGCCCGTAAACATGTCGCAATTTTCATGACATTCGTTCTCAGGGTGGACTGCCAGCTGTCCCCATCGAGGTCGTGATTGACTTTCCCTCGCTCAAAGATAAACGAATTGGAGGAAAAGCGATGGCGGGGGCCTGCCCATTTCTCAGCCCTCTTTTCCCTCCGACGTGTTGTTTTTGATGGTGGTGGC